GGCAGCAAGTGGCAGGTCCCTGAGAGCTACCCTCTCAGACCCATCCATTCATCTTACACAGATAGTGATGAAACATCAGTTGGCTTTCTTCCTCAGGCAGAAAATGAGGAAAGAGCCTGCAACTCCGTAAGTCAAAGATCAGCCTGTTTTGTTCACTGTTGTCTCCTAGTTCCTAACTAGCACAGGGCCTGGCATAAACTAGTACCGATGATGATGATGGGTAACACCTGTATAGCACCTGTTTTATACCCTGCATGGTTTCTGGGCACTTCAAATATATTTACTCACTAAGTCCTCACATTCTCCAACTAGATAAATACTGTTATTATCCTCACCTTGCAGGTTAGGAAACTAGGCACAGAGAAATCCACTGTGAATAAATATTTGAGGAATGAATGATCAGAGTCCTATCTTGCTTCAAGCTACAGAAATAAAAACAAAACTGCAACCTACCCATTGAGGGATAGGGGAATGAGGTGATGAGGGCCAGAAAGTGGCTCAGCACAGTATGTGGATTAACTCCTTAAATCTGCTTTCAGTACCCCTGATGAAGCACAGATGATCAAGCCCAGTTTATCGAGGAGGGAATAGAGACTAGCAGAGGTTAGGTACTTTGCCCTGCAAACTGACAGACCCAGGACTTACCCCAGGTGTGTCTGACTCCGAAGGTGGCACCCCTAATCCCTTAGCAGTCCTCCCTGCTTACCTGTGGGTCACTGAGCCAAGAGCTATGCCTTTCCAAAACACAGCTGAGAAAACAAAACCAAAATCCACCCAAGCATCCAAGTTGATGCAACAATGTTCTTTGGATGTAGTTCTAGCAAGGTATGAGCCTCTTTTTCTCAGGCCCAGCAGTTGGACAGGAATGAAGTTACAGAGGATGCTGTTAGTAGAAAGACAAGGGAGAGGGAGGCGTGATGAAAATGATAACCAACCAAGCCTATGAACTTGGGGCCGCTGAGGCAGATGGTTCTAACCGCATCAACAGTGTCGAACCTGTAGCACAATTATTGACTTTGAGTCACCAAGAAAAGGTTGCATTGTGTAAGAGGTTGCAAAGGTGGAGAGCAAGTAACTCTGGTTTGATGTTGGAGAAGAGGGGCCTACCACTTCCTAGCAGAGTCATTTAAGCTCATTGAGCCTTAGCTTCATTGTCTGGTGGGTGGAGACAATGACCGACTCCCCACGGATTGCCTGCAAAATTCAACAAGCTCCCGAAGGTGAAAGCACTTGGTCAACAGCAGTCAAGGTGAGTCACTATGTTTGACATGTTCTACTTAAGAAAACTGGGAAGTGAGCAATACATTTATGAATGTTTTCCAATAATATTGGGAAGGAGGAATAATTTTAAAAACTTCAGTAGTTTAAGGGTTAAATTTCATTATCTGGAAGCTGTACATCAGGAGCCACCTAACTGCGAGCCTCTTGGCCTCTCTACCGGAGCCTCCACTCTGTTCACCTTCTGCTTGAAAGCTACCCGTGATCTCAGCTGACACAGGTAATAGGATCGAGGACAGAGTGGGACACAGGGCACAGACTCCAAAACCTAGAAGCTGTTAGTTCAAAAAGAGGTCAAATGCTCTTTGGGAACAAGCTGCTAAGAACCTGAAGCTCCTGCGTTCAGCCCAGCCCCAGGGGAGGTCATTTAGACTTCAAACGAGACATCCTTGGGGGGATACCAACTGGCAGCTTGCTGGACCTCTTGGTAGAAAAGCCCGCTGTGGGATCCGTTTTGCCTCTTCATTAACTTAACTCTCATTTGCTGAGCACCTACCACAAAGCAGGGACTGTGTGAACAAAGCAGGGGGACTCAGACACAGGCAAGTTCCTGCCCTCAAGGAGCTCATAAGCTACTACAGGAAATAGGCACTGTTGGATAAAAACAGTATGATAATAAGTGTTAACCCTCATCAGGTACTTCCCATGTGCCCGGCACTGTGCCAAGACCTTTACACATACTACCTGATTTCACTGTGGCAACAATCCTACTCTTGTCATCCTCATTCTCCAAGTGGAAACTGAGGTCCAGAGAAGTTTTATCAGTTACTTAAGGTCTTCAGCTAGCAAGTGGTGAGCCATGATTCAAACTTAAGCCTTGACTCCAGAGGCCATGCCTACAACCCCATGGCCAGCATTATAGGCAGGTAGAGACAGAGGGCCCTGTGGGAATGCCAGGGTGGGAGAGGGGCTCTGGGATACAAGGAGGGCTTTGAGGTCAGCTGGACTTGGGGTGGGGGTTCTAAAACTGCTCTGCCCCTCATTAAGTTGGAGGGCCCTGAGGTTCAGTTGTTTTCTATGGCAAAGGAGGCTAACGATGGCTTTAGAGGAAGGTCATGATGACAGAGGAGCTGACCCAGGGGTGGTGCATGGTGCCACCTTGGGCATGTTCCACTGGACCAAAGGGGTTAGAAAAGCACATGAGGTTTGGGGGGGCGGGGAGGAGGTGTCAGAAAAGGCCTTCATGAAAGAGATGACGTTTATGGGCCTTGCAGGATCACTGATTTTGGATTGACTTAAGGAAGGCAGCAGGGTGGGGCAGGCATGAGCAAAGACCCTGGTCATGAAAAAGCTAAGGGCCCATTTGGGAGCAAGCTGACTGGAGCCCAGGGAGAGAGCTGGGGAACAGAGGGAACCATGACTGAAAAGAAAGGTGAGTCCACATTTAATCTGGCATGGCAGTGACCTCTGGCAGCCTTTACTGAGAATCCACTTGGTGTGTGTACCAGAGACCAGGCATTATAGAGTTTGTACTTTGAAGACACTCTCTTTAAGAAAGAAGGGAAGACAAAGGTAACAGACGCAGCTATTTCTTTAAAGAAAAGGCGGGCACAGCAACTGGCTGGCTGGCTTCCTTTCCTTCCCTCCAGCCTCCCCTGAGGCTGTGCATTACAGGGCGCCAGGGAGCAAAAGGCACATACTGCTGAATATTCAACAGACCTTAGGCATAAACATCATTTTACTTTATGCCCACATGGGACACACACACACACACACACACACACACGCACGCATGCACACGGGGTGGGGGGGGTGAGGAGCCAATTTGATTTTCCAAAAGGTTGCATAATTCTTAGGTGATATTAAAATAGCTGATGAAGAATCCACTTTAATCTTTTTTGGGTGGGCGTTGAAGGCCTGAAGAGCATTGCTTAGACATTTCTGACAAAATCACTTACAAGAATGAAGCTGCCAGCAAGAGCTGCAAAACCATCAGCTCTAAAACTGCCACCTTCTGCACCTTCCTGGGGCCTTCCAGACATTTCTCTGGATGTCCAGGGTGGGTGAGGAGGCGACCCCAGCCAGGGCCTGCCCAGCCCAGACCCTCACCAGCAGCTCCCACAGATTAGGTGCTTCTTTTCTGAGATGGACAGAAACATCATTGCTGAAATGACCCCATCCTTCTCAGGCCCCAAAGAACTTCCTGTCCATGCTGATAATCACTTGGAACATAATCGCTCATGCCCAGCCTCAGCCTGCTCTTCTACCCTTGGCTCGAATTATATAGCAAAGGACCTGATTTGTGACTTTCATAGATGTGTGACCTGTCTCCTCAACGAGATTGTGAGTATCTTGTAGGAGGGTTGGCCTTGTGCTCTATCGTAATCCCGTGTATCAGGGATGGATAAGATCAGCAAACATTTTGCCACAATGCTAGGAAATGAATTCTAATTCCTTCTTCTGATAATATGGTCCTTGAATGTCTACTAACATTATCTTCTAAAATCAGTGTCACTCTATTATTCATCTGCATATTCTAGGAGTCTAGAACAGTACCTGGTGGACAACAGACCAGTTAGGACTCCTTCTGAAGCCTATCTTAATTCTACCCTGGGAAAAAGTCTTCGTCCATTTGAGATCTGAAGAGTAAGTGAGAATTAGGCAAAGAAAGGGAAGGATTGGAGAGGGTGGAGGAGAATCTTCTAGGCAGAGGGCCAGCAGGACCAAAGACCTAGAGTGTGGTGAGGTTGTGCTTATGTGTGGTTCTGTGACAGGCAACTGGTCTCAAGACAGTCATGGAGGAGCAGTCAGTCTTGGGCGGAATCAGAATGGGTCCCCCTACCATTAGAAAAGGAGGAAGGAAGTTAAACAGGAAGACAAAGTAGGCAGGTTTGTAGGTCTGATGGCAGAAAGCTGAGAACACTTCCATCTGAGGGCTTCTGTTTTCTAAGGGGGAAGTCAGGTATCTTCTGAGCCGTAGAGGGAGGGGAAGAGGTGAGAGCTTCAGGCGAAAGGAGGAGGTTTGAAATAGCCACGGAGGGCAAAGGAGACAGAACCAAGCTGGAGAACGTGGAAGGATTTCTGGGTGGGCTGGGGGTCCAGTCGGCGTGGAGACACACAATGCCATTCCATCAAGGTCCGTGGCTGGTCAAGAGTCCCTCAGTACCTGGGTGTAGGTGGACTGCTGGAGTTTCATCAGGGGGGAGCAGACAGCAGGACCAGGGCCTGGGGGATTCTTGCGACAGAATGGACGAGATAATGGACCATGGGCTGGGCAGGATAGAGAAGCAGGTTGATAAACAGGGAGCAAGCAGAGGGGCCACTGGACTGGAGTCCCGACGATGTTTTAAGTTGATAAGACACCTGTGGTGGAAGTGACTGGACTTGTGGGAGTCCGGGAAGATGCGGTTAGAAGGATCAGAGCGGGTGCGGATGGAGGTGACACCAAGGTTCCGGACGTGGTGCAGGAGGGAGAGGCTGAGGAGGACATGAAGAGGTCGAGGAGGGTTGAAAGGGCCGCGCTGGGGACTGACAAGGTGGACAGATGGTCTCCAACTCAAACAGATGCCCCCTGAGGGCCTAGGGTTCGCAGGACGCAGGCAGTCCAGCAACGTCATCTGAAAGCCGGGGACCACTACTAGGCCCCCAAACAGTCTTGAGGCCGGTGGGGTGCTCCCCGGGGTGCTCCCCCGCACCAGCCCAGGTTCCCCTCTCCTCAGCCTCCGGCCTCGCCCCACACCCAGCCCCCCACCCGGCGGGCGGTTCCGGTCAGGCCGGAAGCACGTGGCCCCCCACCTGCGCGGTTGCCCGGGAGACCGGGCTGTTTACCAGCGGGGCCGAGCCAGGCGGCCGCAGCTGATGGAGCGGAGCGGCGAGGTGAGAGCGGCCGGACCCGGTGGCCTGGAAGGGGCCGGGAGGCCAGTCCCGGGCCCGGGCGCGTCGCCGGGCGGGCCTGCCCAGACCCGGCCACAGAGGCGAGCCCCGGGAGACAGGACAGGGGCCGGGGAAGTGGCTACTCCCCAGGGGCAAAGCCAGCCTGGTGTGAGCTCTCCGTTGCCGGGTTAGGACAGCTCGCGCGCTCTGCGGAATCCGAGGAGCCTGGGAAACCTCTGGGCCATGCCCCCCACCCTGGCTGGGCAGTACAGCGCGGGACGCAGACCCAGAGGGACAGGGACATCTTGTCACACAGAGAGCCCGGAACCAGATCTGAGCCTCCCCCAGACCTGTGCTCTTGGCCCAATTCAACTCTCACACTCGAAACGCTCCTTCTTGCCCCTCCCCCAAATCCCTCCTTCTGCTGTTTTAGTTTGTTTCCTTCTAGAGCTGCCAGTACTTGCAAATAATTGAGCCATCCCCCTCCACCTACCCGCCTCCCGGGGCTGCTGGAATCATCCCCAGTTCCTTTTCCAAACCTTTGATCACACTGGTAGCTTGTGGTCCAATTTCTCCGCTCCCCCTTTCAACGTGGCACTCGGCATAGGACAGTGTATTCTAATTATTAGTCCTGGGAGAACTGGGAGTGGTACCAAAGTTTTCTCATTCTTAGGCCAGCTACCATCTCCTGTTGGTTCTTCTGAGCGTTTTCATCCTGAAAGCCTCATGAGGAGGGGTAGGGATTGGCAGGGGATGGTCTTAACTGGTAAACATTTTTAAAAGACCAATTCAAATGTATGCATCTCTGGTATATACCAGCAGATGGTGTGTGGGTGGTTATATCTTATTGTACTTACTGTAGGTTTGGATTTGGGCTGTGACTGAAATAGGGTGGTCTGACCCTTTGGTGGGAGGTGGGCTCTTTGGAAAGCAAGACTATGACTTTAGCCTCTCCTGCCACAATTTCCTTCTTTCCGGTTGATCTGGCAATTAATCTTAAGGTTGGGCGTTTGCCCTTTTGGCCATTCCTTGGAAACAGCTATCAGTGTTTGTTTCCTGACTCCTAGCAGGCCTCTGGGATGCAGCTATTATGTTGAAGTAAACAGGCCACTTGCCTATTCAGCTGGCCGCTTGATGGGTGCCTATGCCTAGGTCTTATCAAATCACTTTGTGGTTGAGAGTCTGCTGGGCCTCCAGGTGGTGAAATGAGCTGTGCAGAGATGGTAATGGGTGCTGCAGAAGCCTTCCCGGACTGAGGGGGTGGGGAGAGCTTGGGACCTGAGGGCTGGATGTAAGGGTGTAGTTGGGCCAGGTCCTTATACAGCTGTTGCCCTCACTTCCCCTCTCCACATGATAGAAGCTGGGAAGAGCTGGTGTTCCCTCCTTGCAGCAGATGGTCCCTGCACTCGGGAGAGGCAGCGGGTTATGAAAGCAGGTTCGATGGAACGGTTTTACCTGAAGGAGGTGTTAGTCTCTAAATAACCATGAGTGGGCTTACAGGAATTAGTCATAATTGAGGTTTTTCTCTGAGATAGCTCGCAGTCATGTTATCTTATGACCAGGGTGTCTAGAATATGACACCCCCTGAACATGGATAATTATATAGTACCAAAAGGTATAGAAAGTGCATGCACATAGTCAAGTTTTACTGTTAAAAATAATCCAGCAGAAAGCCTGTGAGAACACATGACTTTCCTCGTCAAAGTTGTTAAGGAAGAGGTTTCTAAGTTACCAAACTTACTGACAGTTAAACCTTGCCGAGGCATGTGTGGGAGTTAGAAGCCAAGTCTGTGATAATTCTGTAGAAGCTGTGGCAAATTAGTAGCCATTCTGTTTGGGAGGAGGGTGGGCAGAGAGCATGAGGCAGTGTATCAGTGGAGCTCATCTTTGGCAGAAGAGCTGGACAGTTACGATCTCCTGCCTTGCTGAGTGAAAAGTGCAGAGCTGCTAAATTACAAGGGAAAGACTTTAGAACTAAACTAAAATCAAAGGGAAGAAACCCCCACATGTTCTTCACAGTGGATCAGAAAATAGATGAAATTAACACAGAGATGGGCAAGCTTTTTTTGATGCCAAGGAGAAGGCTCCTGAACTTCTAGCAGCCAGATTGGGTGTGAAAGCCTAGCAAGAAGTGGAATATGGGAGGGTGTGAAGGCTTGGTCTGTGGATAGAATGGAGCAAACTTACAGGCCTTGATGTTAAGGAAGACAGGGTAGATTCTGAACTGAGTAGGGCTTCAGAAACACACAGGGATATTGTGTTTTGTTTGCTTGTGGTTTGGGTGAGGAGGAAGAGGGTGCTCCCTAAAATGAAGCAATAATGGTAGTGCACACAGAATGGTAATGTTGGAGTGCAAAGCTAAGGGGCTGGGATTACAGTGACGTTCAGGAGTGTGTGATGAAGGTAGCCTGGAGTAAGTGCATTTGAGGTAAATATGCCATTAAAATGTGGAATTAGCAGGGATTTGTTGGAAAGCATTTATTTCACATTTTTGAGGCAATTCTATAGGCCGTAGCTCTCTGCCATTTCTGTGCAGTGGGCAGGGCAGGGCAGGGCGGGCATGAGTCCCAGGAGTCACCAGCTGGTTAGCAGAGTCTAGGAGCAGAACACCCTGGGGAAAAGCTCAGCAGCAACAGGCTAGACTTTGGGGCCTAAAATAATAGAAAGCACTAAACAAGCAGAAAAACAAAAACAAAAAAAACCTTACCACCTAATTAAACCCTTGCTGTGTGTCAAGCCTTGTGCTTCTGGCCTCACCTACATGATATCATATCACCAGCCTCATGTTGCAGGAAAGAGACTGATGTGAGGTGTTTGAATAATGTCTTCAAGGTCTTACAGCTAATTCTATAGAGGAGGAAAGTGATGTACAGGCACACCTCACTTTGTTGAGCTCGGCAGATACTGCATTTTTCCCAGATTGAAGGTTTATGGCAACCCGGTGTTGGGCAAGTCTATTGGCTCCATTTTTCCAACAGCATTTTCCCACTTTGGGCCACTGTGTCACATATTGGTGATTCTTGCAATATTTCAAACTTGTTCATTATTTTTATATTTACTGAGCATGATCTGCGATCAGTGATTACAACTCTCTGAAATCTCAAACAATGGTTAGCATTGTTGAGCAACAAAGTTTTTAACTAAAGCGCATACATTGTGTTTTTAGATGTAATGCTATTGCACACTTACTACAGCATAGTGTAAACATAACTTTTATGTGCGCTGGGAGAAAATTCATTTGACTCACTTTATTGCGATGTTTGCTGTATTGTGGTGGTCTGGAACCCAACTTCCATCCTGAGATGTGCCTGTATCAGAAAGGTAGGGGGAATGCCCCGTGGTTACACAGCTGGCTCTCTGCAGAGCCTGCCAACGATCGCAGGTCCTGTGTCCTTTGCACCCAAACGTGCTGCTTCTTGAAGACAGTGAGGCACTGGGAAGTTACCAGAAGGTCTTTAGAAGACCACGAAAGACCCCGATCAGCCTGTGGGTGGAGAGAACAGGAGTACCCTAGCGATCAGGGTTCAGAGGGAGGCAGAGAACAGGGAGCACCGAGTTGCGTGTTCCGGGAAGGATGTAACCAGGGCCTGGGAGGATGAGGAGTGATGACTCTGTTCGCTAAGAGGCCTCCGATGGTGAGGAAAGAGGACACCTGACTTGGCAATTCCGGCTGCACTTCCCACCATGCCTCAGAACATTGCTTCGGTGTGATTTCAGAACACTCCTGAGCTCTGCTAAGGGGAGATGCGAATGTAGGTTTACAGATGCAAAGTGTTTAGCAGGTAGTTGGGAAGACAGAAATGTAAACAGCTAATGAAGAGATGATAGGACGCCTGGTCCTCAGGAACAGGACTGTGTGTCACAGACCTGAGCTCTGTTTCAGGCTCTGCTGCCTGCCGGCCTTGAGCAGGGGGCATTGCTCTGCCTTTCTGGCTTACACATCTGTACAGTCAGCATGTGCCCAGAGTCCCCTCTGGAGTGGGTCTAAGAAGGGGTTTGGCAGATAATAGCCCAGTACCCATTTTTGTGTAGTTCGTGAGCTAAGAACAGCTTTTACCTTTTTACGTGGTTGAAAAAAATCAAAAGAATAATAGTATTTTGCGCCACGTAAAAATTCTATGAAATTCAAAATTCAGCGTCCGTAAATGAAGTTTTATTGGAACATAGCCACACCTCTTTATTTACATGCTGTCTGTAGTGGCTTTCCCACTGCAAGGACAGAGCCAGCTCGTTGTGACAGACCATATGCCACAATGTTTTTGACCCACAAAGCCAAAAATATTCCTGTCTGACCATTAACATGAAAGGCGTGCGGACCCCTGGGCTAGCACCTGAGTACCTCACAGCGAGTTCTGGCCAACGGGCAGATCAGTAACAGGGCCCCCCCACTCCTCTCCCTCCGCCCTGGGAACAAAGTTAAGGCAGTGGAGGGATTTTACGGGAGTGACTTGTGTAGAGCCACCTAGCAAGGTTGAATGAACACACAATAGGAAGGGGAATGAAATAAGGCCAAACTATGGCTGGATGGGGAACGAATACAAAAAGGATTGAGGGAGAAGGTGAGAATGGGGGGTTCACCGAGTGGCTCTTCCAGAGTGAGCGCTGGCCCAGAGGTGACCACTGTCTGATCAAAGAACAGAGAAGTTTGTGGTCTGCTCTCAGCCCTTCAGTGAAGCTCAGCCTGGTTTCCCTGCTCGGGAACTTAACTGGGTTATTGTGGCTCTTTTGTGCAAAGGTAGCTACTGATAACCTTCCTTTCTCTGCCTCCATGTCTATGGGTTGTATAGGCTATCCGTAGGGAGGGCTGTGTACCCTGGGGGCCAGAAAATTCCCTGGAGCACATCAAGCCTGCCCCACCTCAGGCCTTTGTCTACACCTGGACGTGTTTCCCCCTAGATCAAGGGTGGGCAAACCACAGCATGGGCCGAATCTGGCCCACCCCTGTCTTTATCAAGTTTCATCAGAACACAGCCACAATCCTGTGTGTACATATCATCTATGGCTGTTCTTGTACTACACTGGCAGGGCTGGGTAACTGGAACAGAGACCATGTGGCTCTCAAAGCTGAAAATATTTCTGGAAAAGGTTAGCCAGTCTAAAGTGTAACATGGCTGGTGCCTTGTCATCATCCTGGTCTCTCAGCTTAAAGTACCCCCAACCCAAAAGATTAAGAGTTAGACTCCCACCCTTGTCTCTCTCTGGTGCAACACCTTTTTTATTTTCCTCATAGCAGTTAACTACTTTTTGAAAAGCTCTATTTACTCATGGGTTCAACACCTGTCTTCCCTCTCTGTTCAAGTGAAAGGAGTTTGGTGCTCTGATATATTTATTCCAACTGCCTGAAATGAATGAGCAAATGATTTGCAGAGGGTGCCCCTCTCCAGATGTCAGAAATCCAGAGAGAGGCCCCATACCCTCGAGGGTGGCTGGTTGGTACTAATCCTGGCACTGGGGAGTGAAGGGCTTGGATCCAGACGTCCTGGAAGTTTGATCATGGCTTCCTCTCTTTTCTCTTGCTTCCTTAGGGGTCTTAGGAAGCAATGGCCACGGAAGCCCCTGTGAACATAGCTCACCCTGAACACAGCTCTGTAGTCAGCACAGCGGCCGACAGCTTCGCTTGGCAGCCACACACACTGAACATGCACCTCATAAGGCCCAAGTCCGCCAAGGGTCGCATGCGGCCGAGTCTGCACAAACCCCGGGACCCAGGGATGTACTCACATGACACACATTCTTCTCTGCCTCCAGCCATTCCTTGCAAGTCCCCAAGCAGCCAGAAACCAGGAAGCTGTGCACCCAGATCTCCCAATCAGGGAGTTCCCGATGGGGTCCCTGAGCTGCTGCAGCAGGTGCCCACTGGGGCTTCCTCTTCCCTCAATAAATATCCAGTTCTTCCTTCCATCAACAGGAAGACCCTGCAGGAGGGGGCGGTGGAAACAGTAGCTCAAAAGGCCTGCTCACTGCACCTGAGCAGCACGCAGGGTCTTTACCAAGAGGAGACATGCTCCATGAAGACAAGCAAAGAAGATTCCAGAGCTCAAGCCTGTTCCCCAGAGAGAAAATTCATCCGAAACAAGAGACAGACCTCCCCCAGGGCTGGAGCTCTGGAGGAACCATCAGATCAAGAGCCAAGGCTGCTGCTTGCTGTCAGGTCACCGTCAGGCCGAAGGTTTGTACGCCACTTCCGACCAACTGATGACCTGCAAACCGTTGTTGCCGTAGCTGAGCACAAGAACAAGGCCAGCTACGAGCACTGCAGCATCGAAACAATGGAGGTGCCCCGGAGATGCCTCTCTGATCTCACCAAATCTCTGCAAGAGTGCGGAATCCCCCACAAGTCGGTGCTGGGCATCTCACAGGGAGGTGGGGCAGGGGGGCCCTGAGTCCACAGCCACCCAGCTGGGGTCCTGGGTCTCTGAGCAAGAAGTGTGCTTGGGTGCCATGGCGTCCTGGGCAGCGTGGTGCCAAGTGCCATGGCACCGTGGTGCCTCTGGGACTGGGACTCCTGTCTTCACAGCATCACCTTTGAAGCAGGGATATTTGTACACCCACCAAGCACATCAAGAAGATTCTCTTCCAGTTGCTAAATTCTCTCCGTCCCTGGAGTGAACTGGCGAGTTCCTGAGGCTGTTCCTCAAACGGCTGTGACCAGGCCTCCCTTTTTCTAGAGTTTCAGGCCCTGTCCAGAGCACCTGCTTGCCTTTACAATGAACTCATTCTCTTGAAGCCAGTGGTTTGCCTCTCTGCATTCGATGCAGGATTAAACACTTCCTAGAGGGGATTCTAGCCTGGTAAATAACTAGGGTTCAGGAAATGTCAGCTGGCATTTGTAAGTCTCGCAAGCATCCTTAAGAAACAGGTGGTTGGCCCTATCTTGGAAGCAGCCCCTCTGCTGGGCCTGGGTGACTAGAGTTCCTTGGGGATGACTGTTGTTTTGCGTGAGGGGGTCTCAGGGGAAAGAGCAGGTATTTTGCTAATACAAACCCCTAATACCTCAACATTTCTAAAATCACTGGGAACTGGAAAGTAAATTGCTTCCACAGCCGTAGATTAGTCACGCAGCTTCTTTTAAGTAGAGAATAACTAGGTTTACAACTTCTGGTAGCTATTCTCTGTGCGTACAATTCTTCCCAAACTGAGAAAAGCCATTGTAACCTGATTTCCGTTGCTTTTGTCAGTCATGGCATGTTTTGTTCTTAAATCATACAAACCTATAGGCCTGTGCAAGTTGGCGCTGAGGACCTCGGGCTTACCTGGGTGTGGGTGCATTGTTTTATCCCCCAGTTTCCATGTCCTACCTACTACACACATGGAGGCCCTCTTAGAGTGCCCAGTGGCTCTTAGACTTAGAAGTCCCCAGAGGAGAAGGGCCCCTCGGTTTGATGTCACTTACTCGCTGTGCCATGTGGTCCTGTTGATTGGTAGGAAGTGCGGCTGACTGCCTGAGCCTGCAGCTGAGTTGAAAACCACAGTCGTCTTTTTCCAACCCTGAAGAGGTGACATGGATAATTTGCCAAAGTTTTCTTGTATTCTGAGTTCAGCCAGACTCCCACGTCTCATCTGGACCTTCTTTATGGCCAAATCACCATTGAAAGTAGGGAATCTTATCCCCCCAGGGCTTGGCCATTGTGAAGCCTTGGGTGCTGATAATACACTCCCACCTCCTAGGTTCACAGAGAAGGCAGGAGTTGGGGAAGCATATCAGTGCTGCAACCTCAGCAACAAGCACATCGTGGGAGTAGATAAGGAATGTGGCTGGAAAAGTAACTCCCGTAAATTGATACTAGCCATGGAGATTAACACCAACATTGTTTCCTCTGAAGAAGGATTGCTTTGTCCTAACTGCATCCCACACCACACAGATCACTCAAGATAGGTTATTTCTGAATGTTTAGCAAAATTTCTCAATAACCTCTTGTTTGGTCAACAGCTCCTTTGACTGCAAAGGTCATCTGGGGCTTGCGGTGCCCTGTGCAGCACACACGACTGGCCACAGCTCCCAGTTACCGACCCTGGCAGAAGAGGCTGGTGGCTTGAGTCTGGTACTCAGTACAGATTCACCTCCCACCTAAAACTGTGCCTCTGATCTGGAAGGCTGGGGGAAGAGCCTCCCACAAAATTACACCTACTCTGTGGTAAGAATAAAATTCCACCCACCTGGGACCGAGTAATTACTCCAGGCAGGAAACCTTTAGAAAACTTCAGGAAAATGGAGCATGCGTGAGGGTTAGAATCTTCTGCACTTGGGGTTTGCTTCTGCTGTTTAGCCTAGAACTTGGGGGTGGTGAAAAAAATGGAAGGCATGAGGCATAGGAATGTTTTAGGATATTTTAGGATATATGAATAAAACTAGATTTGAACCACCTTAATGATCGTTTTTTTTTTTTTGGACAAAAGATGATGATACTAACAATAAAAACTGATTTGTGTGAAATCGACTCAGTGGAGAAGTACACCTGTATTTAGCCCAAGACTTTGCTCCCACACTCTAGTGGACAGAGGAGTTCATCCACCTGATCTCGGTAAGCACTTAGTTCTGCTGTTCGATCCGAGCCCTCTCCCCCAGGCACTGCAGATGAGCCCCCTTCCTGTAGCTCTGGCCCTCCACTTACAGCATTAAGCCTGCCTGCATAGGGACAGTCTCCTGAATTTCTCCCAGGCATCATTGCACTGCACTCCTTTTGAGGTCAGCAAGAATGGACTCGGGATTCCAGAGCTCTTGGTGGCTCTGCATGTGACAACTGACAATGGGGCACTCTGGCCTGTGGGGTTCAGCTGGGGCTGGCTACTACTCTTTGTGGCTCTAGGTAAGTCAGCTGTGCCCACTTTGTGGTTACAGACCTCCTGCATCCACTTAAGCAGTAATCATTGCAGGCCTGTCCTGCGTCATGCTTGGTGACAGGCATTGGTGCCCCACCCAGAGACCATCTGTAAAATGTGGAGCCACCTCTGGGCTCTCAAACCCAACTGAGGTTGGTGGCTGCAGCTTTATCCATGAAAGACCCTAGAGTGAGGACCAGGCCAGATGGCTGCTGTCTTCTCCACCACCCCTCCCCCACTGTGAAAGGCAAAGGAACCCCAGTGATGGCACTAGGAAGGCTGCTCATCTGGGACATGAACTTTGCATAGGACAAAGCTTCATGACAAGCTATTCCAGTATATCCCCTGATAAAGTCCAGGAAGTAAATTAGTGCTGGCAGCTGAAGGAACAGCTGGAGAAATAAGTGACTCATCATTTAGGATCCAAAGCATTTTTGCCAACAGATGGCTTCTAAACAACAGTCCTTGCCCAGAAAGTACCTGGGGACCCAGCCAAAGGCCATCAAGCCAGGGCTGTCCTGAGGGAGGGACACAGGTGCACATGACCGTGGGCCAGCAGTCACCCCAGTGCTCCCACATTAAGTGCTTCGTAAACAAACTAAGACAGGCCTGAGGTCTCCATTCCAATTAAAAGACTAGTGACAAATCACCATCACTGTCATGCATCATGCAAGCAGGCCTTCCAGGATCTAAACCTTGCTTTCGTTCCTGCTCTTATCACCATTTTAACTGGGTTTCTAATGTCAGATAAAGCTACTCTGCCCCAAGATGCAAAATAGTTTCTCCTTACACAATTTTATTAAAGTCATCATAAGTGGAGATGGGAGGATGCACAGTCTCCTGTGGTTTTGAGACATATTTTAGATGAGCCTTTTGTATGGTAAGAGGGTCTACTTTTCTACTTTTTAAACACAATTGCTTAGAAAACTAGATTATTTTACTTTAGCATTAGTTTGGAATCATTCTGAGAATTATGCAGGAACATCTGTTTCCTTAGTCCACTAACGCAACACACCACAATACAGAGGAAATTTGGAGACTGGCCAAGCGCACCCCAAACCAGAACCAACCCAAACCCCACCATATAAGCGGTGAAGGTCGGAGGCCACTGCAGAGGACGTAGCAATCCAAGCAGAGCAGACTTCTGGTGACTCACCAACACACAAGACAGTAACTCACTTTATAAAAATAAAATTGGGTGTTTTATTTTGTGTCTACACTGGTGATGTGACAGTTTTTCCTCCTGATTAGGGCAGTTTCGATCAGCTCCTTCTAATGCCCTCTCCCTGCAAGCAGTTTAGGAAGCAGTGGTAACTGAACAGTTGATGGGGAAGAACAAACCTCTGAAGATATTTCTGGACACACTTAAATCTGGTCTCAGGAATTGAACAACTGATGTGACAACTGCCAGTGGATACAGTTAAGCAAGCCTCATTCCAACAGTCTGCTCAGGGGAGCTCTCTGGCTGCTGTGTTGAGAGTAGACTGCAGGGGTCAAGGTGGAAGATGGAGGACTCATGACTGGACGTTGACAGCAGCCAGGGGAGAAGCGATGGTGCCTTGGGCCAGAGATGTCATCAGAGGTGGTCAGATTCTGGGCTCATCATCCATTTTCTTAAGGAAAAAAAAAAAGCAGATTAGTTTGGCAAGTTGGGATTTACCCAAGTGGGCCTAGCTTGATTATATCACCAATGGGGACTGTTTCTACAAAATGAAACAAACATGAGGGCAACAAGATGAACACACGCAGGCAGGGGAAACCCCCAGACCAGCAGCAGTGTTCACAGGAAGGAATGTTTTTGGACAAAGCATACAGAGAATCCCAAAGCTATTCATTGCTCTAATTAAGAAGAGATGTAACTAGAATGGTTACTATTTCACGTAATATGTAGGTTAAACACAATCAGTTGCCATCCAACTCTAGGGGTAAGATGACTGTCCAAAGTTACTTAATAAGTCCTGTCTCAGTAAAATAACACTTTGCTTATCTATGCCTCTCCCCTCCCCCGTCTCTCCCTCTCCTGCTTCCTTTCATGCCATTCATTCAACTCCAGCAGCCGATTTGGGATGATTCCTCTTAGGAAAGAAAATAAAACCACTGTTCTTTAGCTAATTAACAAGGCTTCCAGTTTCATGATTTTTATGCCCACCTGTTCTTTACAATGAGGGGATCTGTAAGGCCTTGGTCCTTTTTGTGAGCAGCTGAGAATTGTACCTCTCTGACATTTGCCCTCGGAGAGATAGAGATCACGGGTCAGCTCTGGTTGGTGAGTACCACCAAGGGCTATCCCAGGTCTCCCAGCCCCAGCCCACTGTTAGCAAGAGAAGCCAGCTACCCGCAGACAAACCATGGGAGGATGGCAGCAAGTGGGAATCACCTGCTGGCCCCACTGCAGCCCTGCATCCAGCCCGGGGACACTGCAGTGCCAGCCCAGCCCAGACTTAAGTGCCCCAAAGACTCTGGATCCTGACCTGTAGAGGGCTTGTTAGTTTCCCCAACCCCAGCCCGGGGCCCCAGCTCACTCCTTTCCTTCTGACTGCAGTTCCCAGCAGGCCCTCATCTTATTAAAACCATCTGTAACAAATTTATTCAATTAATATATATTAGGCACCTATGTATTTGTCAGGCACATAGTAGGTCTGTCAGTGACCGGAGCAGGACAAAAATCCCTGCCCTCCGGGAGGTTACATCCTAGTACACGGGGACAGGAAAGAAACAACATACATAATCAATAGTATATAGTATGCTAGAAAGGGGTACATGTGGTGGAAAACAGAAAAGCAGAGTAGGGTAGATAAATCTAGAAAGCGGTGAGCTGGGGTGGTAGAGGATGAGATCTCACCTGGGAGGTCAAAGCAGGGTTCATTGACAAAGTAATGTAAGAGGGGAGAAAGATGTGAGAGTGAGGGGGCCGGGGAGAGTATTCCTGGCAGAGGGGTTGGTAAGGTCCTCAGGCAGGAACCCATCTAGCCTGTTAGAGGAAAGGCCAGTGGCCAGCGGGGCTGGAGCCAGGAGCGGTAGAGCTGTCAGATATGGCAGAGAGGAGACTGAATACGTGGGTCCTTATAGGCAAGTAACTGGGCACCATGGGGAGCCACTGTGGGGTGCTGAGCGGAGGCATGCCTGACATCCATGCTCAAACCAGCAATCTGGCTGCCGTGCTGAGAACAGGCAGGGGTAGGAGGTGGAAGACCAAGCAGAAGCTATTACTTCTATAATCCAAGTGAGAGATGAAAAGCAGAAAGGTGGACTTCATGAGAAGTGGTCAGCTTCCATATATATCACCCGTTTGCTTTTTTAAAAAGTAATACTTAATTTTATTGTCAAAACAGTGCTAAAGTAAATGCTTACCCATTCCATACATCTTCATCACAAATTCTTTTTCCAGGCAGCAGAGGCTCACTCTTCAACAATCTGTTACACTCTGCCTCCAAAACAAAACACACAGCTTTTTTTTTTTCAGTGGAAAACTTAGAAAACATAGAGGAGATTGAAAAGGAAAATAAAAACCATCCATAAGCCTTTCCATCAGAGATAACTGCTGTTAATATTTTGGCATATGTTATTTCATTCTTAAAGATCGAATTTATTTTGCACATTACTTTCTTGCCAGTAGGCACACAGGCATATTTTTAACATTTGTAATCCCAGCAAACACAGCAGTTTTATGGTCTTTTTCCAAATTTCTACAGTCTTCATAATTATGTTAAGACTGAGTAATATGTCAACATGTTGATGTGATTTATTAAACCATTTCCCTTTTATGGAGCATCAACATGTTCTCAGTGGTTCGCTATAGGTGTCAATGCGGACGTCTTCATTTTTTGTAGCTTTTTGTATCTTTCCAATAATTTCCTTAGGACAAGTTTCCAGGAATAGGATAGGTAGGTCAAACTGTGTAAAAAAAATCTTTTGAATTTTGCTTTGCTTTTCAAAGGACTGTACACCAAGCACCTAAATGTTTCAACACAGCATCTTCAACTTTGAGGTTACTGCTTTCCATAATTTCCCTTGCCTTTCCTGGTTGAAAACAAAGATGAAAAATCTTTTTTTGTTTTTTTATTTTGCATGTTTTTGATTGCTATCCAATATTAACATTTCTGCATGTCTTTCCAGATATTTTTTCATATTAAAATTAAAAACTCAGGTTGTAGCTAATTTGTTGCCTTAATCCGGGACACTCCATTCTAATTAGAGGCAAGGAAAGGGCTTTAATGGGGGCTTGGGAGATAAATTTCTTTGTTCCTGATATTCATATTTGTTGATAAATGAATTAGAATTGATAAATATTATACTTTCCGAAACACATAGTCATGAAGTGAACTGTATGCCTGTTGGTTTTTTATGACTCAAACCTTATTTCAATACATATCTTTTCATCGAGCCAACAAAATGAACACTCACACGCGCCAGACATGGCGCACATGGGGCACAAAGAAGAAAGACACGTCTTTGCAGTCGAGGAGTTTCCAATCTAGTGGGAAGAGGCATGTACGTTTAAAAATACCACGTGTGGTTAGCACAGTGTTAACAATAGTCTGAAACCAATGCGGCACAATGGTGGCAGAAAACATTCCTACTGACCTACAAGAGATAGGAACCGGTCAAAGCCACCAGCTTTCAGTCTGGGAACCTGGGCTTCCAGCCCTCCGTCACCTAATGTCTTTTAATTTAGGTTTAACAAGAGGGCGGGGGAGGTGTAAGAGGCAAACTGAAGCAAAGGCTGGTCGGGAAGCACAGGAAATCAGTATGCTCCGCAGAGAGCATCTGCTCCCCACTTCATCATTTATACTGGAAACGTGTCATTGAGGAGACGCTGAACGGGACTTCCTGAAACGCCCTTGGACTCGGCCCTAGCTCTCCAAGCGGTGCTACACTGCTCAAGTCATTCCCCACCAGGAGGGGCCCGGTAAGGCATCTGGTGCCAATCAGGCTAGATTCCTCAGTCCCATCCTCCAGGGAGTCCAAGGTGAGATCCATATACAACGGCTGGAGGCTATCCTTCATTTTCAGGCAGAGCAGTGGGAAGCCCAGTGTGTAAAATGGGGTGGGTAGGGGCTATAGCTGGCAGACAAGGGTTAGGCTGCAAGCCTGGGGAAAATGCAGACCATCGCACCCAAACCTTTGACTCAGCATAGCCAGAAAAATTCTCCCAAATGGCTTCTGAACTCTTTTAAGACTGTGGCCAATAGGCCAAAATTGGATAATGGGTTTTAAAGGGGCCCTCAGCATCCAAAAGGCACTGGAGCTGTTAAAAGGTCTGTCCCAGATCTCCTGAATTAAAGTCTGTCGGGATCTGTGAACCACCCCCCACAACACCACTACCTCCCACCACTGGGAATGCAAAGGATGAGCCAGGCTAAGAACTGCTGGGCATTTCAAAGTCCTTTCCAATTCCTATGGTCTGTGAGTCTCAAAAGGCCAGGCTAGTGGCTGCCTCTGAGCCTGCCCTGGGCTGTCCTGTTCTCAGATCCCTGGGTGGGCTTCCTCCTCTCCAACCCCCTTCCACTTGTCAGGAGCCACCTGTCAATTTCAGCTTCAGCCCCAGCTTCTCTGAAGGTGTCTGCTGCAAGTGACCTCTCCCTTCCCCGGGTTTCCCCAGCTCATTACCCACCTCTAGTTCTCACAGAAGAAACACTACCATGTGGAGTATAAAGAGCACAGGATTTGGCATCCAGAGCCCCGTGTTCTACTGGGTGGGTCATGCTTTGCTTCAATTTTCCCACCCACAAATGGGAATGATTGCTACCCAGGGTGCTATTGTGAAGAATCAGATGAAGTAATGTTTGCTGAGAATGTGTTGACATCTTTTTGTTTTAATAACTTCCCATCTTATATTGCCATTTCTCTCTTCATTTGTTCCACAGACATTTATTGAACAGCCACCAGCTACTGGGGATATGAAGATGTATTCACTGCCCTCCAGGGAGCTCCCCATCCAGTGGGAGAGGCAGATGGGGACACTGAAAGCTACCACACCCGGAGATTAGCACAAGTGTCTGAACAGTGCCTGGTGCATGGGAGGTGCTCAGGAAGTCTATGAGGAATGAATGAAGACATTAAAAGATACCATGGAATCACAGACTGACAATGGGGGGAGCTTCTAGAAAGTGATGCGGGAGCTGAATCTCAGAGGGCCGGGTAGGAGAAAACCAGCCGAGGGAAGAGAGATGTCCTGGAACCAGCGCACAGCTTTTACAAGGCTGCCAGGCCTTCCCACACTGCCCGTGACTCAGTCATCTGGGCGCTCTGGGTGCCTAGCCATGGGCCCCGAGCATGGTAGGTGCCAGTCTCCCCAATATGAAATGGTTAAAGATCCTGCCTTCGAAACAAAACAAAACAGCTACTCAGCATCAAAGGCATAAAATGAACAGAGGGCATTTGGGTCACCCACCCCCTTCACAGTGCGATGTCTCACACTGATGCCATCCCCAATGAGCTTGGCATGGTTTTCAAAGTCCCCGCAGTGCTCTGGGTAGAGCTGGCAAATATGGATTAATTCAGTCCATCTGCTTTGGTCTTTATCCACCTATTTCAGAGCACGTCCCTCATAACCTTAATCAAGATAATACGTTCTTAGCAGCAAGGGACTGTGAAGACAGGTAGGTTCCTGTTCTCTAAATATTTTACATTTTTTGCAAGAACAGAAGCCCTGTCTACAGGTGAGACAGCCACTGCCCCAAAGACTCTGGATCCTGACCTGTAGAGGGCTTGTTAGTTTCCCCAACCCCAGCCCGGGGCCCCAGCTCACTCCTTTCCTTCTGACTGCAGTTCCCAGCAGGCCCTCATCTTATTAAAACCATCTGTAACAAATTTATTCAATTAATATATATTAGGCACCTATGTATTTGTCAGGCACATAGTAGGTCTGTCAGTGACCGGAGCAGGACAAAAATCCCTGCCCTCCGGGAGGTTACATCCTAGTACACGGGGACAGGAAAGAAACAACATACATAATCAATAGTATATAGTATGCTAGAAAGGGGTACATGTGGTGGAAAACAGAAAAGCAGAGTAGGGTAGATAAATCTAGAAAGCGGTGAGCTGGGGTGGTAGAGGATGAGATCTCACCTGGGAGGTCAAAGCAGGGTTCATTGACAAAGTAATGTAAGAGTGGAGAAAGATGTGAGAGTGAGGGGGCCGGGGAGAGTATTCCTGGCAGAGGGGTTGGTAAGGTCCTCAGGCAGGAACCCATCTAGCCTGTTAGAGGAAAGGCCAGTGGCCAGCGGGGCTGGAGCCAGGAGCGGTAGAGCTGTCAGATATGGCAGAGAGGAGACTGAATACGTGGGTCCTTATAGGCAAGTAACTGGGCACCATGGGGAGCCACTGTGGGGTGCTGAGCGGAGGCATGCCTGACATCCATGCTCAAACCAGCAATCTGGCTGCCGTGCTGAGAACAGGCAGGGGTAGGAGGTGGAAGACCAAGCAGAAGCTATTACTTCTATAATCCAAGTGAGAGATGAAAAGCAGAAAGGTGGACTTCATGAGAAGTGGTCAGCTTCCATATATATCACCCGTTTGCTTTTTTAAAAAGTAATACTTAATTTTATTGTCAAAACAGTGCTAAAGTAAATGCTTACCCATTCCATACATCTTCATCACAAATTCTTTTTCCAGGCAGCAGAGGCTCACTCTTCAACAATCTGTTACACTCTGCCTCCAAAACAAAACACACAGCTTTTTTTTTTTTCAGTGGAAAACTTAGAAAACATAGAGGAGATTGAAAAGGAAAATAAAAACCATCCATAAGCCTTTCCATCAGAGATAACTGCTGTTAATATTTTGGCATATGTTATTTCATTCTTAAAGATCGAATTTATTTTGCACATTACTTTCTTGCCAGTAGGCACACAGGCATATTTTTAACATTTGTAATCCCAGCAAACACAGCAGTTTTATGGTCTTTTTCCAAATTTCTACAGTCTTCATAATTATGTTAAGACTGAGTAATATGTCAACATGTTGATGTGATTTATTAAACCATTTCCCTTTTATGGAGCATCAACATGTTCTCAGTGGTTCGCTATAGGTGTCAATGCGGACGTCTTCATTTTTTGTAGCTTTTTGTATCTTTCCAATAATTTCCTTAGGACAAGTTTCCAGGAATAGGATAGGTAGGTCAAACTGTGTAAAAAAAATCTTTTGAATTTTGCTTTGCTTTTCAAAGGACTGTACACCAAGCACCTAAATGTTTCAACACAGCATCTTCAACTTTGAGGTTACTGCTTTCCATAATTTCCCTTGCCTTTCCTGGTTGAAAACAAAGATGAAAAATCTTTTTTTGTTTTTTTATTTTGCATGTTTTTGATTGCTATCCAATATTAACATTTCTGCATGTCTTTCCAGATATTTTTTCATATTAAAATTAAAAACTCAGGTTGTAGCTAATTTGTTGCCTTAATCCGGGACACTCCATTCTAATTAGAGGCAAGGAAAGGGCTTTAATGGGGGCTTGGGAGATAAATTTCTTTGTTCCTGATATTCATATTTGTTGATGTATGAATTAGACTTGATAAATATTATACTTTCCGAAACACATAGTCATGAAGTGAACTGTATGCCTGTTGGTTTTTTATGACTCAAACCTTATTTCAATACATATCTTTTCATCGAGCCAACAAAATGAACACTCACACGCGCCAGACATGGCGCACATGGGGCACAAAGAAGAAAGACACGTCTTTGCAGTCGAGGAGTTTCCAATCTAGTGGGAAGAGGCATGTACGTTTAAAAATACCACGTGTGGTTAGCACAGTGTTAACAATAGTCTGAAACCAATGCGGCACAATGGTGGCAGAAAACATTCCTACTGACCTACAAGAGATAGGAACCGGTCAAAGCCACCAGCTTTCAGTCTGGGAACCTGGGCTTCCAGCCCTCCGTCACCTAATGTCTTTTAATTTAGGTTTAACAAGAGGGCGGGGGAGGTGTAAGAGGCAAACTGAAGCAAAGGCTGGTCGGGAAGCACAGGAAATCAGTATGCTCCGCAGAGAGCATCTGCTCCCCACTTCATCATTTATACTGGAAACGTGTCATTGAGGAGACGCTGAACGGGACTTCCTGAAACGCCCTTGGACTCGGCCCTAGCTCTCCAAGCGGTGCTACACTGCTCAAGTCATTCCCCACCAGGAGGGGCCCGGTAAGGCATCTGGTGCCAATCACGCTAGATTCCTCAGTCCCATCCTCCAGGGAGTCCAAGGTAAGATCCATATACAACGGCTGGAGGCTATCCTTCATTTTCAGGCAGAGCAGTGGGAAGCGCAGTGTGTAAAATGGGGTGGGTAGGGGCTATAGCTGGCAGACAAGGGTTAGGCTGCAAGCCTGGGGAAAATGCAGACCATCGCACCCAAACCTTTGACTCAGCATAGCCAGAAAAATTCTCCCAAATGGCTTCTGAACTCTTTTAAGACTGTGGCCAATAGGCAAAAATTGGATAATGGGTTTTAAAGGGGCCCTCAGCATCCAAAAGGCACTGGAGCTGTGTAAAAGGTCTGTCCCAGATCTCCTGAATTAAAGTCTTTCGGGATCTGTGAACCACCCCCCACAACACCACTACCTCCCACCACTGGGAATGCAAAGGATGAGCCAGGCTAAGAACTGCTGGGCATTTCAAAGTCCTTTCCAATTCCTATGGTCTGTGAGTCTCAAAAGGCCAGGCTAGTGGCTGCCTCTGAGCCTGCCCTGGGCTGTCCTGTTCTCAGATCCCTGGGTGGGCTTCCTCCTCTCCAACCCCCTTCCACTTGTCAGGAGCCACCTGTCAATTTCAGCTTCAGCCCCAGCTTCTCTGAAGGTGTCTGCTGCAAGTGACCTCTCCCTTCCCCGGGTTTCCCCAGCTCATTACCCACCTCTAGTTCTCACAGAAGAAACACTACCATGTGGAGTATAAAGAGCACAGGATTTGGCATCCAGAGCCCCGTGTTCTACTGGGTGGGTCATGCTTTGCTTCAATTTTCCCACCCACAAATGGGAATGATTGCTACCCAGGGTGCTATTGTGAAGAATCAGATGAAGTAATGTTTGCTGAGAATGTGTTGACATCTTTTTGTTTTAATAACTTCCCATCTTATATTGCCATTTCTCTCTTCATTTGTTCCACAGACATTTATTGAACAGCCACCAGCTACTGGGGATATGAAGATGTATTCACTGCCCTCCAGGGAGCTCCCCATCCAGTGGGAGAGGCAGATGGGGACACAGAAAGCTACCACACCCGGAGATTAGCACAAGTGTCTGAACAGTGCCTGGTGCATGGGAGGTGCTCAGGAAGTCTATGAGGAATGAATGAAGACATTAAAAGATACCATGGAATCACAGACTGACAATGGGGGGAGCTTCTAGAAAGTGATGCGGGAGCTGAATCTCAGAGGGCCGGGTAGGAGAAAACCAGCCGAGGGAAGAGAGATGTCCTGGAACCAGCGCACAGCTTTTACAAGGCTGCCAGGCCTTCCCACACTGCCCGTGACTCAGTCATCTGGGCGCTCTGGGTGCCTAGCCATGGGCCCCGAGCATGGTAGGTGCCAGTCTCCCCAATATGAAATGGTTAAAGATCCTGCCTTCGAAACAAAACAAAACAGCTACTCAGCATCAAAGGCATAAAATGAACAGAGGGCATTTGGGTCACCCACCCCCTTCACAGTGCGATGTCTCACACTGATGCCATCCCCAATGAGCTTGGCATGGTTTTCAAAGTCCCCGCAGTGCTCTGGGTAGAGCTGGCAAATATGGATTAATTCAGTCCATCTGCTTTGGTCTTTATCCACCTATTTCAGAGCACGTCCCTCATAACCTTAATCAAGATAATACGTTCTTAGCAGCAAGGGACTGTGAAGACAGGTAGGTTCCTGTTCTCTAAATATTTTACATTTTTTGCAAGAACAGAAGCCCTGTCTACAGGTGAGACAGCCACTGCACAAGTAATCAAATACCTTAATGGCCCTTGCTTGGGTCCCTTTCAGGAACCACACTTCTGAATGAAAACAATGCATGACCTGTGCTCAGGGATCCATCTGAGGATGAGACATTGCGGGTTCCCCACGGATCTCTGTCCTTGGTTATAGCCAAGAAGAGAGATGGAGCCTTGGGATCAAGGATGGTTTACTCATTTCCTGTCCAAAGACAGAGGCTGAGCAATCTCTCAGGACCCTTTCAGTTCTATGACTGAGTATTTATTACTGGTTACTGGAGATGTTGCTAAAAGCCAACATTACTGCCAAACTGTAAGCAGGAAGAGGCTCCTTTCTGAAAAATGCTCAAATCTGAGATTAAAGGTCAACAATTGCCATAGAGCCTCTGACGCAGCCAGCTCCCCAGGCTGAAGGAGACTGCATTCCTGCACCTGTACCCTTGGGGCCAGGTGAGCAAGCGAGGAGCACAGGCAGCCCAGCCAAGCCCCAGAACCCCTGGCACTTGGAGAACAAGTCTTCCCTTATTTAATGCATTGCATGTACGAGTGGGTGTGTGTAGAGGTTGCTGTACAAGTCAGATGACATTTTTTCTGCCTGAAGGGGATCACAGAATTAGGATGTATTTAGTTCAAAACTCATATAGAATAAGCTGCCTGCTGCACCCGCACGTCCATCCCTCCCTGTCCCTGCCTCCAGCTACTGTTCAATTTCTATCCCATTCCCCTGCTTTACTCTTCTTTGCTTTTTATTATTACC